GTCTTTTGCGTCATTTATTCAAGGGGGGTCTTCTATTATGGGGGGGGTCTTCTAATATAGGGGGGTCTTCTAATGTGTCGATGGCTTTACATGCCTGAAGACATTCTCGAAAAGTAATTTTTTAATAGCACAACATTGAATATTTAATTGTAATTATTCATGGTATAACTATGAACAAATATCATAGCACATTACTTTTATCTTAATCAGTTGTATAACAAACACAGAAACAATTATTTTTCTCTGCGTCTTTTCTAATAAGTGTCGACTAAGTTCAACTGTTCATATAAAAATATCGTCAATAGAAAAAATATGAAATTTCAAAAAAAAAATTTCTTGATTGTTATTTCACGACATTTCAACTAGTGCTACTAACCAGAAGAGGAAAACATATCAACAATAAAACATAAATGAAATTCATAATGATGTACTGCTGAATATATCTTACTTATTGTGAAATACAAAAAATCTATTCTTCTTGTTTTTTTTTGAGTAATTATAATATCAATAAAAATATTTATCATAATGACAAATGTTTGTTTTAATTTCAATAGATTACTGATTTACTATTCTTTAAAAAAATGGATTAACTTTAAAAGAAAAATTATATATTTCGATGAACTTATTCACCTGTTTGCATGGAAAGATTGTCTTAAATATGTTTTATCATTGATTGATAAAAATGAGATAGAAAAATATTTAAAAGAATCATTATTGTCATCTTATGATGATTTAAAAATGTTGATTTTTTTATCATTATCAATTAAAAATGAAAAAAATTTTTTTCGACGTATTTAAAAATAATTTATTACCAACAAAACAACGAGCTTTTGCTGGTCAATGTTGGATTCTACTTCAAAAAGATATGAAAAACAAATTCATAATTTTATTGTTGAATCAATCAGTTTAACAGAATCAAATAATCATGATCAATATAATATAGATGTATACTCAGTACCATTTTGTAAATATGATCAAATAATTGATCTTTTATCACGATGGTCATTAAAATGTTTTGAACAAATTAATTTAATATCAGCATTTTATTTTAAATTAATTCATTATCAACCTCTTATTATTATTCATTTAATGAAAGGTGATTTAAATGAAAATAAAAATGATTATGAAAAATTTTCAAATTATTTTCATAAAAATAATAAAATATTTGATTTAATTGCAAAAAAAGAACCAAAAGAATTGATGAATTTAACAATTGAGTATTTAAATCAATTAGAAAAACATAAAAGATTTTTACCATATTTTATTCATTGCAAACAAAAATATGGTCATCAAATCATACAATTCATATATTTGAATATATATTAGAAAATCAACAACAGGCATTAAGTCTGTATAAATTAAAAAAAAAACAAAAATGGTTAATTGATATTGTTATTGGAAAAACATATTGGAAAAGAATTATTTTTAAAAAAATTATTAAAAGAAGGAAATGAAGATAGTCTTCAACTATTTCAAATGTATCCAGAATTTACAACACCACTTTCTATTCATATATTATCACAATATGAACGTAATGGAACAAGTGATGATAAAAAACGTTTATCATTTCTTTGTTATCATTTAATGATACAAGAAATTTTTGATAAATTTTTATCTTTATTGAAAAAAAACAGGTTCAAATATTAATCAACGTATTATAAATTATCAACTTTTTCTTCAATGTGTTATATCAACAAATGAACAATATGTTAAAAAAGTTTTTGAATGGATTGAAAAAAGATTTACTAATGAACAATTAAATGTTATTGAAAATTTCTTAGATAAATTAATTTCATATAATATGCGATTTAATTTAGAATATTTATCAAATAATATTAATTCAATTCAAACTATTATTGATATTGCTATTAATTATTCACAACAATCAACATATACCTTCCAAATTATTTTATCTTATGAAATATTTTTACTTCGATCTATTGAACAATATTCAAATAAACAACAAAAAGAAATCATTCAACAATTTGCTAAGAAAATTATCAAACAGTAAGAATAAATAAACTTTCACAAAAGGATGTACATATGAAGTTGGAGAGAGTGTAGCCAAAACATGTCTTTTTGATAAACAACAAACAAGAATCTCACCTATCATAAAGTTTTTGTTCTCTCGAATATGTTCAGTTTTAATGTGTATTCAATATCAATGGTACTCACAAATGTAACAACATTCATATTACTGCTCCAGAAAATGATTGGTCCCCTATGTCAGAAATGTTTGAAACATCTCTCGAACGTCCGTAATGCAAGATCCCTTATATTTTAAATTACAATCTAACAAGGAAACATTTCCAAGTGTCAAATCGCTTTTGAGTCAAGAGTATGAGCATAAGACAGATCCCAATGAGATATGCAAAACCCGAAAATGATAAGTGCCTTTAGGCCTTCTATCCAGAGTTATAGGCATTTTACTGAAATTTTAGCCTCTGACATAGTAAATATCAATAGAACGAATGGAGGTATTTCGACCTAAGATTTTGCCCACAGATAGGTCTAGTTGTGAGTAGGATACTCTGAAAATTTCAGCTCAAAAGAATGTTTCCTTCTCGAGATATTAAAGTC